GCTGCGGCAGCCCCGGTTAAGCGGGTCTTTGAATCAAAGTTGTGGGTAATGAGTTATCAAGTGTCTTCAGCGACGGTCCTGAGGCTCCCGCCCTGGCGACGTTGCAGGGAACATGAAGGAGGGCTTCGCTCAGTCTTCCACGTCCTCACCGGAGTGACACCTCCGTGGTGGGGAGGGAGGACAGCGGACACGGAGACTGAGGAGTTAGGCGTCCTAGGAGGAAGCCTTAAGTCGCAGTCACTAATCAGGGTGCCCCCGCTCCGGTCTTAAGCGTCTCTGTGGAAGTGTGGGTAACGGAACCACGGACCGATAAACCCCGTGGCTGCTAAGGAAATGCTACGTGTGAGCAAGCGTGCTGGAACACCCTTTGTCCTGCTCTTCCGTGTCACTAGCTTCACTGTCACACACATCAGCGCACACTGTTCAATAATGGATAGAAACACAGAATGGTTTGGGTTGGGAGGGACCTTAAAGCCCATCTTGTTCCAACCCCCCTGCCATGGGCAGGGACACCTCCCACCAGACCAGGTTGCTCCAAGCCCCATCCAGCCTGGCCTTGGACACTGCCGGGGAGGGGGCAGCCACAGCTTCTCTGGGCAACCTGTGCCAGTGCCTCACCACCCTCACAGAACAGAATTTTTTCCCCATATCTAATCCAAATCTCCCCTCTTTCAGTTTGAAACTGTTACCCCTCATCCTATCACCACACTCCCTGACCAAGAGTCCCTCCCCACCTTTCCTGCAGGCCCCCTTTAAGCACTGGAAGGCCGCTATAAGGCCTCCCCGGAGCCTCCCCTTCTCCGGGCTGAACAACCCCAACTCTCTCAGCCTGTCCTCACAGGGGAGGTGCTCCAGCCCCCTGGTCATCTTAGCGGCCCTCCTCTGGATCTGCTCGAGCAGGTCCTTGTCTGTCTTGTGCTGAAGGCCCCAGAGCTGGACACAGCACTGCAGGTGGGGTCTCGTCAGAGCAGAGTAGAAGGGGAGAATCCCTTCCCTTGACCTGCTGGCCCCCCCTCTCTTAATGCAGCCCAGGGCGATTGGCTTTGTGGGCTGCATGTGCACGTAAAACATAAATTACTCCTAGCGATTTGGGAAGCTGAACTCAGCGTTACTATAGATGACCAATGAAAATCGCTGCTAAACTTTCTCCTGTGGTTCGTGACAGAAAGCGGTGTGATGTTCTCATTGACTGCAGTGCTGAGAACATCGTTTCTGGGGAAAAAAATTACGTGTGTCGTGAGACAGCTAGAAAGATTTGCTCAGGAACAACGAGAAAAGATTTTATGTTCTTTGTATGTTCATTTCTATGGTAAAAGGAGTTCGTGAACCAACAAGCAGGTGGTGCCTCTTGAAAAGAAAGCAGGAAAGTAAAAGAAGGGGAGAAAGTGTTTGCTAACGCAACGCATGGTTATTACCTTTTCACGTTTTTGTCAGTAGGAAATAATTTTAGCCAAGCGTTGGTGATTAAAATAGTTTACTTGTGGAATATTAGAATTAACTGTGTAATTGCTTAAATTTAGGCTGAATTGAAACTCATTTTATTTTGATGGGCATGTGTTAAGGAAGTTAACTCAGTCGTTTAACTCAAGCTTTACACGTAATGGATCGCATAACCTGCTGAGCTGAGTACCTAGATTTACTGAAGCCTTAGGCCTCACATGGTGAACTTTGCTGAACTTCTACTTAACATGTGAAGGGAGGCCTCAAGGCAGCTACATCCTGGGAAAAATAAGGTAGCCTCCTTCTCAGCAGTAACTGCATCCTGTGGGAAATAAGGTGCCCGTATTCTCAGCAGGAGCTGCATCCTCAAGATAAGGAAAACTGGAGACAGAAAAACCATCCAATGAAGAATGAAAGGACCCCAGACCCAAATGTTGTTATTGGTCTGCACTGTCGTGTGAGGGGAGGGGAACTTAGATTGTAAGAGGCTAAATTGCCCCGGGATTTCTTTGTTCGGAGTCCCAGCTCAAGCTGAAATAAACCACCTCCGTGGCAGAACAGAGGGTCCAAACTCTTCTTTGCAGTTGGGGGCTAAGACTGCATCCAGCCATTCCCCAGACTCACAGAATCACAGAATGGTTTGGGTAGAAAGGGACCTTAAAGATCATCTAGTTCCCACCCCCTCTCTGAGGGGAAGTTTAAAAAGCAAGGGGGTCCAGTCTGAACCTCACGACTTGGCGGAGGGTCTCCCCGGACTCTTCTGTAACACCAAGAAACCAATAACACGTTATAAGAAAACCACGTTTGAACGTGTGGGTGAGACGTAAGAAAAATAACTAATACAGATTTGTGTTTCTGGTTTCGAGGCCGTGGTAGGATCTGCGCCTGAGGGATCACAGCTCTCGGCCAGTATGCCAATTCGTGTTTCTAACGGCCCTGGCTAGGCAAACGTCATCTAGAGGAGTGATTCCCGATGGGTGAGCCGTGCGTTACTGGTGAGGTCTAAAATTGGGCCTCAGTGGATAAAGTTTCCACATTAGTTTAGACCCTTGCTGAGGCTGCTGGAGCTGGAAGTGGGACTGATGAACGAGTGCGGGGCCTTGCTGGAGCAGCTGGAAAGAG